TAAGTTCGTGCCCGATTCCGCTGGATGCCGTTCGAATCGTTTGAGAGTGGCTCTCGTGAAAGAAATATATACATATTATATATCGTTGGAAAGGTGACAGTCCTAACTGTAAATCAAGCATAAAATAACTTCATTTTGATTTGAGTTGCTTAGTGAAAAGACGCATGGAAGATGGACAACGAAAAAGATCATATGCGTCATATTATGTTATACGAATTCCGCAAAGGAAAAACAGTAGGCGCTGCAACTAAAGATATTCGCGAAGTTTATTTGGACCGTGCTCCAGCACTCCGCACAGTAAAGAAATGGTTCGCGAAATTTCGTTCTGGAGATTTTAACCTCGAAGATCAACCTCGCAGTGGACGGCCTTCTGAGCTTGATGACGATGTTCTAAGGACTTTAGTTGCGAATAACTCACGTATTTCGACGGAAGAGGTTGCCAGTGAATTGAACGTCAACAAATCAACTGCGTTTCGTCGTTTAAAAAAGGTTGGGTACACTTTGAAGCTCGATACATGGGTGCCACATCAGTTGAGTGAAAAAAACAAAGTGGACCGTATGTCAACAGCAATTTCTTTGCTTCGACGGATCAAAAACGAACCTTTTTTGGATCGGCTCGTGACTGGTGATGAAAAATGGATCCTGTACAACAATGTTCAACGCAAAAGAACATGGAAACAGGCACACGAAGGGGCGGAACCGATGTCGAAAGGTGGATTGCATCCGATGAAGGTACTGCTGTGCATTTGGTGGGATATCCGAGGCGTGATCTATTTTGAGCTCTTGCCAGCTGGAGAAACGATCACTGCCAACAAGTATTGTCAGCAATTGGTCGAATTGAAGAAAGCAATTGATGAAAAACGTCCGATTTTGGCCAATCGCAAAGGAGTTCTTTTCCATCATGACAACGCCAGGCCACATGTTGCAAAACCGACCCTGGCCAAACTGAAGGAGATGAATTGGGAAATCATGCCGCATCCCCCATATTCACCCGACATTGCACCTTCTGATTATCATTTGTTTCGATCGCTGCAGAACAATTTGAATGGAAAAAAATTTAAAAATGTGGAAGACGTCAAAAACCACCTTGACACCTTTTTCAACGAGAAACCGCGCGATTTCTATGAATCAGGCATCCGTAAATTGGTTGAACGTTGGGAGTGGATTGCCGAACATGATGGCGAATACATAATTGATTAATAAAAGCGCTTTCTTCAAAAAATTTCAATTTTAGTTTGCACTTAAAATCGGGCACGAACTTATGCACTCATCCAATAATTAATGATCATTTAATATCAAAGTCAAACAAATTCATCGAACTTTCCTTTGTAAAGTAAAAAAAATGTAACAAATGTGTAATCAATTGTAAATACATACATATGTACATACATACAAATATTCCAAATTGCTTCGAAATATCGCTGGTTGGTAATTGAATCAGAATTTATTATTACTGTTGTATAAAAATTTCTAGTTGCGCAATTGTTTGCATCAGCGATGACCAAACGCCGCTGCAAATCGTATTATTTTATACTAATTAAATTATTGCAGCGCTGTAAATGAGAAACTGCTGCCGGGGAGTGTGGGTGGTCCGTTTGCTTGCCAGCTTAATGTAAGAGTAAGAGCGGGCGGCAAAAGTCCAAAGCAGCTGATTGATTTTGTTTTGTTTTTTTCATCCACTTTTTGTGAAATACCAACGCTCACTGTACAAATAAACCGTAAGCGGTTGTATGTATGTAAATGTAAAATTGTATAATCGCGACATTTAGAGGAAGGAAAAAAAAACATTTGTACAATAATCCCGTTGTTTGTTTTACAATTTTATTTACGTCTGCTTTAAATGGTAGAAATGAAAACAAAAAAATAAAATTTCGCCATTTGTTTATTTGTTTCTATGTACTTAAACGTATATTGATTACTTATCGCATAAACAAAACGAGCAAGAAGCGCAGGGAAGGCACAAAGTCTCGCCGCGATCAATTGTCGCATGTGTTATGTTGATGAGGCTTCGGTTTCTTCTTTTCAATAAAATAACATTTATTTACAAATCGAAAGGGTGATTTTTTAATTGCTATAGGAAAGTTTTTCAAAAAAAAACACATAAAATTCAGAAAAATGCATGAAATCTTTATTTGACTCGATAGTACGGTCCATATAATTTAATGTTTGCAGATTATTTCATGCAAATTTTGAACGCGACTCCGTCTCAAATGGTCCATCCGCTTAGTACAATTTGGCATACTCTTTCCAACATTTCGGTCGGTACCGCACGAATAAATGCTTCAATGTTGTCCTCCAACGCGTCAATTCAAGATATAGACATTAGATTTAACATAGCCGCACAAAAAATAGTCTAAAGGTGTTAAATCGCACAATCTAGGCGGCCAATTAACCACTCCCGAACGTTAAATAAAATGTTCACCACACTCGCCTCTCAAAAAGTCCATTGTTAGGCGTGCTGTGTGGCATGTGGCAACGTCTTGTTGAAACCAAATGTCATGCAAATCAAGCTCTTGCATTTTGGCCAAAAAAAAAAAAAGTTTGATATCATCTCACGATAGCGCTCAGCATTCACAGTTACGTCACGATTCGCTTCATCTTGGAAGGCGTACGGTCCAATGATGCCATCAGCGCATAAAACGCACCAAACTGTGACTTTTTCTGGATGCATTGGCAGCTCTTGCAAGGCTGCTGGCTGATCTTCACGCCAAAATCGACAATTCTGCTTATTTAAGCACCCATTGCGATGAACTCGCTTAACAGAGCACACATTTTGATAATAAAATTTAATAATTTGCTGCGAGCGTTGTTCGTTTCCAAGACGTTTCATGGTTAAATTATAGACCAAACTGAAGATGTTTGCACGAAACGTGTGTCAGCTGTTTAAACCAGTGTTGCCACAAAAAAAGTAGCTAAAAAAATCACCCTTTATAATTGACACTTTGTAACCGCTGATTCTTGGGCTGAGCTTCTCTTAAAGTTTTTGTTGTGCGCAGTTTATTCTAAGCCACCTCCCAAAGGCTGACGATTTTCTATGAAGATCATTTAATTTCATGTCAGGAATACACTCGAAGAGCTTCACATTCGCTGCCGAGCGGCGATCACAATTAGAAAAATTGATTTTCTATAATTTTGGTTGTTGAGCGGACCTGTCCTTCCGTCATTGGCAGTACGCATTGTTAACCACTCGGCTATTGCGGCCGCCAATAATATTACAGGAACGCAAAAAAAAAAAACTAAATTGTTTGTTGCAATAAAAATACAAGCGTTCCGGCAAATGAGTAATCAAAATTTACATTGAAAAGTTGATTGAGACACACTTATAGTTTGCTATTCAATTTAACTGAAGCACAGATTTTTATGGCGCGTGGCAGTAGTAATGGCATTAAAGTAGATTTTTCTTGCGAAGATTTTGAGTGTTTGATTTATACATTTATTCCAGAAACTAAATCTTAATATAATATAACGATTTTTACGATCTTTCTTTAATTAATCTGCTATTCATTGTTTTCACAATTTTGTTTTCGTACAAATTAGGCGGCTTATCTTTATTATTGTTAAATATATGAAATTCCGCATTAACAAATTTAGACTAGTTTATTAGCAGCTATGTAATGATGTATGTGATCATAAAAACAATCAATCGGCCTTCCGCGTTCACATAAATATTTTATTTTCTTTAATTTTGTTTTAAGTAGGTCAGTGTCGGTTAGACAAGTTCAATGACCATTAGCAGTTCTATTCTCACTGTTGCCGGTAAAGTAAATTTTATTACTTTTCTTTAACACCGAAATTGAATTTGGTATTCTGGCAAACTGCTTACAATGTTTGAAAAAAATTTGGCAGCACTGCTTTTTTTTGTCCATGTCAAATTATATTTGCCAGTTGATAAAGTAAAAAGAAAAATATTCACCTCGAAATGAAAGTTTTATTAATTTGTTTATTAAATCATAAATATTTGAACGTAATTATGGAAAATATGCCTGGATAACAAAAAAGCTGAATGAAAACGTTATCTTAGAAATTAAAGGGTTATTATTTAGTCTCGAAAACTTCTTAAAATACAAGCCGCTTGCACTTTTTTCTTCATCTTCAATGAATTCCAGGCCTAAAATATGCCTACCCATTTTGGTTTTTTATTTTTTCACAAACTTACAACACAAAATCGAACAGCAGATATTGTATTTTTGTTACCTCCTATTTCGCTGGTAATAAAATTTACAGGGCAATAGTGTGATCACAATACGAAATGGTCACAAAATTTACTGAATGGTAAATTTTAATACCAAAGTAGATTTTGTTACCTCGACAGAATAGGCCTGTAAGGAAACAGTTAGATAAATACACCGCACCTAAATGTAGGCTACAAACAGTGTTCCCAACTCCCTTTATGTAGGCGAGAAATCCACAATTTTTCTTGCGCCTAATTGTAGACATTAACTCGATCGCTTGATACTGAATAACAGTAAATATACTACTTTTACAAATAAATAGCGTTTTAAAAAATTTTTATAAAAATGTGTAAAATTTACAAACATAAGTTTTACTTGATTTAATAATAATACTTTATTATAAATTTAATAAGCTATACTATGGTATTCAAAACACATATATTCACTTGGGGAAAAACTCAGTCAAAAATGTAATTTCAAATGTAATATTATATATTCATATATCATCCACATTATGGCATACAAGTTTACGCAGCGAGACAATCATTTAGCCATTTTGCACAACTGCCTCCAATCGAAACTAAACAACCATTGTTCACTGTTTAGCACAAAAATTCTATGTTTTTTGTATGTTTTTGCTTGCAAGTTTCTTCTTTTAAATGCAAATAAAAAATATTTAATAAATAAATAAAGTGTGTTCGCGTTTACACATAGAATCATGTAAAGATACACATTTTTATTAAAATATTGAAATATAATAATAATAATTAATTAATTAATTAATTAATTTATTTATTTATTTTCATTTTGCTATATCACATTTTGCAGCCTTCAAGTTTCAAGAGAATCTTATACGTACAATGATACAAATTGAGAATACCTACTTCGAGTTGGGGCAATCGAGTCAACGTGATTGTTTGATTATCTGTGATCGTGGCGTCATGGATGCCAGTGCATGTAAGTATGATTAACTGTTATCAACCTACTAATACACATACACATACTTACTTATTTGTATTTGTTTCATTTCCATTTACATTTCAACGCAGATATCTCGAAAGAAAAATGGGAGAAAATGATGTCAGCAAATAATTGGAATCCTATTGAGTTGCGTGATAACCGTTATCATCAAATTTTGCATTTGGTTTCCGCAGCAAATGGTGCTGAAGATTTCTACACAACTGAGGTAACGCAAATACGACAATTATTGTTGTTGGCTCATTTTGATAACAATAGGCGTAGGAAATAATTGAAATCAGCAACTAAATTAGGCCAACTAATTGCTTTTGAGTAGTTTTTCATTTGTAAAGTCTACTCATGGCAACTTTAATAAAGGGTGTGTTTTTTTTTAGACATGTGGATTTCGTGAAGAAATAAGATTAGCAATAATACATATTCAGGAAATAATGCAGTCATCAAAAGTTTTCTTCATTAAACTGATTGCTTGTTGCGCCGTCTTGTTGGAACCAAAAGACGCAACATAAATAATCTGCAACTTAGACACCAAAAAGTCATTTATCATGGCCCCATAGCGTTCCCCATTTACTATAAAATTATAAAAGAAATTGGTACTATTGATTCCCGTTAGTTCTGGTGCCATTTAGCAAATGTGCGACGCGCTTTTGATGCTCGTTCGACTTTAATCCTTGCTTAAGTTGGATTTTGTATGCCCGTAAACAATATACTTCTGCAAAATCTTACATAAAGTGCAATTGTAGTGCGTGGTGATGGACTCATTAGGACCTTCTTCAATGCTCTGCTCTACAGCAGCGTCTTCGGTACGCACTGTACGGCGTCTCTGAAGATACGCCTCATACACAATGGTGGTGCGTAACCGTTCCATGAACTGTTCATTATGAAATGTCCAACCAAATTGATCATAAATCAACTAAAAGCTGGCAAAATACCAAGTCCGAAAAAGTTATTACCTCATTGAAAACCACACGTCTGAAAGACACCCTTATAAAACCAATTTTCGTCTCTAGATATCATGCTTTTATTGTGTGCATTACTCATTCATACACAGATATACAGATATAGCTTGTTGCTTTTCAAAGGTCTCCATCTAGATTAAAAATAAGTTCTTAAACAAATATCTAGTAAATACTTCAATCACAACTTTTTTGCATTTCACAAAAAAATAAATCTGTTTCATTCTACTGCATTTGATATAAAACTTTGCCTAAGAACTCATAGCTAATTCAAAAGTATACGAAATTCTTAAATGACTAATCACTAAAACTCTTTTATTAAACTTGATTTTATTCAAAGATTTTAAAGAAGCCTTCTCAGGTAAAGTTTTTCAAAAATTTACAATTTTCAAGCTTAAAAAACGATTTAGAAACTATTGTAACGGCTAGCCAGTGTAATGAAAATAATTTATTTGCTTGTACATACATACATATGTGTATGAAGTATTTCTTTTCGAATTTTCTAAATATTATACTTATTAATTTCTGCTTTTATTTTCTCTCATAAATTTCAGGATCACGCCTGTCGCTCAGAAGGTGTTGATATAGCACGTGAATTGGATTATAAATCAGCGGCCGCCTGGGTCGGTCATCCATATTTCGATGTCATTGATAATTCAACAAATTTCGAAACCAAAATGAATCGCCTAATAGAGGCTGTGTGTCAGAAAGTTGGCATCGATATTGGTGATCGTCTACTTGCCACATCAAGAAAACTTAAATTTCTCGGTATGTTTTATATATTTCAAAATATTTTCCCTTGTATTTTATTTAATTTAATTTATTTTATTAATAATTTACACATTTTTCTCCGCAGTTGCTTCACTACCTCCCGACTCCGAGTTTCCACCGTTTCAAGACTTCGATGTTGTACATCACTATTTGCAATCCTCAGGACCAAAAGTACAAGCGCGTTTGCGCAAACGTGGCCAAAAGAACCATTGGAGCTACATACATACAATACGCCGTCCAAATGTGCATGGCCAGTCGCGCATCGAGGTGAAGACACAGTTAACGCATCGCGACTATATGAATTTGTTGGCGCAACGTGACGATGCACATTTTACCATCTATAAGCGACGTCGCTGTTTCCTCATCAATAATCAATATTTCCAATTGGACATCTACAGAGAGCCCAGCCATCCGCGGTATGCGAAAAACAACTTTTTGAGATTTTTTTTTTTTTTTTTTTGTGGAGAATATATTTATTAATTTTTTTCTCCTTTTTACAAATATTTAGCTGTAAAGGTCTTATCCTTTTGGAAACCTACTCATCACACACTGGTGATGCGCTGAAAAATTATATGCCAAAATTCTTGAATATCGTCAAAGAGGTCACTGGTGATCCAGCATATTCGATGTTCAATTTGTCATTGCGTGAAGACTGGAGTACGACAAAGAAATTCTGGCCCGCCTTGCCCGGTAAGGACGATAGTAACAGTAACAGCAGCAAAGCTAACGTATTAAAAACAGAAGACATTGTCGATAGTGATTAATGCACTTGATCATGATGATGATGACAATGCCTGCTGCTTGCTTGCTCACGCTTGCTTGCTTGTTAATACCCGCCTAAACTAACTTAAATAAATATATTAATAATGTATTGTATAATAGTATAAGTAAAAAAAAATTAAAAAAAAAAATATGTATAAATTTAACACCGCTGTAGTATACTTCTTGCTAATTGCCTGCTAATTACTATAATTATTATCATGTGCATTGTGCATATATGTATGTATGTATATTAGTATAATATATAGTATATATTGTGTAATATTGTACATTTGATTAAATGATAGTTGTTACTAACAACAATTTAAGTACTAGAAATTTGTAAATCTAATCGCTTTAAACTAAAATTAAATGAAAATTCACTTTACACTTTCTGTCAATAACAATAAAACGCTATTACCATGTACTATCTAGTATCAGTAGTGGTATATTTAATATAATTCTTAATTTGTGTAAAGCATTAGCGATTTAATTTATTAGACAAAATGGTGTTGGTACGAATGTATGTATATGAAAAGCAATGTATTTTTAGCAAAGAAATAACGAACGTAAAGTGAAATTCTAATTTTTGTTATAAACTGCCCAATAATAGCCGAACTGCTGACTTTGCTGCAAAACACAAAAAGAAAAAACACCAGCTACTAAAATCAATGTAAATTAAAATAATAGAAAATAACATATTTAAAATATAACACCTCAAAATCTAATCTACACTAACTGCTTTCACTTTTAAGCATATTATGTTAAGCATATCAAATATTAGTACATAAAAAACAAAGACCAGTTTTTATAGCAGAACTATTTTTTTTTTGTTTTTTTTTTGCTTTAATTTTGCTATTGTGGGAACATGAATTTGCCACACATAAATTTAATTCTAATAATATTAAAATTAATATTAAAAGTAAATTACCTGTTGGGTGCGTGTCCACAATTTCTTTATAATAATTTTCTATATTTTTTCCTTTTGTTCATATAATACAATTATGTTTTTGGCTTTCCATTCCACGCATAATAATTTACTTATAATTTTTAATGATTTGTCATGCCGTTTTTGCATGATTTTATTGTCATTTTTAATGTCCTCATTCTGTCATATATTTTTTTTTTATTTTTATTAAAACTTTTCTTAATCGCCTTATCCACTGCGGCTTGGCTATGGTTAAACGAATTTATATATGTACGCTTATTAATAAACATTTACACATACCTACGTAATTATATACAAGTTTTATACAATTTTCCTACACTTTTTTACAACAAAAAACTCTTAACATTTACGCTTTGTGCTAATATTCTTATTAAAAATATAAAAAAAAACTCGAACTTTAACAAAGATTGCATTTGCATTGCACGCAACACACCCACGCGCACGCACACACACACATACACATGTATATATATTATTTATACATAACTCTATCTATCTTTTCTGTTTTATTTATTTAATTATAGAAGAAGTCACAACAACTAATGGCAATAAAGTTAAGCCCACAAACGGAGTATCGAATATGCAATTGGTCCTTAACGGTCATGCCAAGGGTTAATTACATTAAAATACACATACATATATATATATATATTTACTTAAATTTATAAAATCAACAATTGATTATTATCATCTGCCACACACTCATTATTATTTTCAACAAATTCACATAATTTCCAACTATTTTGAATGATTTAAAAAGAAAAAGAAAAATGTTTTAAATATTTTGTAACTGTTTGACACAGAAATCTATTGCGAGCAAGATAAATATGTTATTATTATTAATTAAACTTAAATGCGCTTTACTTAAAAAAAATTTACATACACATATATATATATATATATTTAAAAACATATACACTCATTTATCAATAAATAATATAAATAATAATTATTTTACTGAAGGTCTGATGAGCTGCAGTGATGATTTTTGATCATTCAATGCTTTAAAATGAAATGAAAAGTTTGCGCTTTAAGTTGATGGACTAATTTTTGAAAGTTTTTTTCTTCAAGCAAAATGAAAAGTTCAGCAAGCAAGAAATCTTATGCTATAGTTTTTAGTGTACTTAAGAACCAAATAAATAATGCTATCCAATAATTATTACAAAACTTTTTCGTAAATTTGCGTTTTAATTTGTATTTAAATGTAACTGTTAACTGCGAAAAACACGTAAAAAGAGAAACACTAAACTAAAGTTCAATTTGATAAACTTCAAGTAATTATTTATTATTAATTTTGAAGCAAATAAAAATTCAAATTTCATATTGGAAAAATAATATTTATATGTATTGTTTATTATTTAATAACAAATCCATGTTGCACTCGATTTTAAAAGCTAAAAAATTCTTTTTGAAATTTAAATTATTTCCTATAAATTTGATGTAAGCAATATAAGTACTTGAAAATTGTTAATTATTTATTTTGAGCGCTGACCTTCAAAAAAAAACTCTTTCAAATCAATTTTACTATTATGTAAGCCACAAAAAATATTTGAAGAAAATGTGCTATCGTATTTGTAAACTATAAATATTTAAAGAATAAACGAAAATTGTTATGTAATAAGACAAAAAAAAAACAAAAACAAATAGAGAAATTTAAGAAAAACATTTAAAATTCATTGAGATCAATACAACAAGTAAATCAATTCACTAGACCACCAAACTAAAAAGTATGACTTGTTTGATTTTTAATTATTTCAACTCAAAAAATTTCTGAGAATTTTTATAGCAAACTATATTAAGTTGGATGGGATATAAGTGCTTCTGGGTATGCAATTACAGTTGGCTTTGTATGAGAGATAGAGATACAGAGAGATAGAGAGAGCGAGAGCGAGAGCGAGAGCGGTTTAAGGTTTTATTAAAATCTAATTGCAGCATCTGTTCCCGAATCATGCGCCTGCGCGCTGGTGTCGATCTCGAAGCAAGCAGCACGTTTCAAAAACTTGTCTTCGCTTTAAGAAAAGTTACAGCAAGCCTCAGATGAGAAACTCTGCCACTTTTTCTCATGAAAATCACTACAAACATTTTATGGAACACTTCTGAAAAGCGTGCACCTACAAAATTTGATCCCTTATGGATGAGTGCATAAGTTCGTGCCCGATTTCGCTGGATGCCGTTCGAATCGTTTGAGAGTGGCGCTCGTGAAAGAAATATATACATATCATATATTGTTGGAAAGGTGATAGTCCGAACTGTAAATCAAGCATAAAATAACTTCAATTTGATTTGAGTTGCTTAGTGAAAAGACGCATGGAAGATGGACAACGAAAAAGATCATATGCGTCATATTATGTTATACGAATTCCGCAAAGGAAAAACAGTAGGCGCTGCAACTAAAGATATTCGCGAAGTTTATTTGGACCGTGCTCCAGCACTCCGCACAGTAAAGAAATGGTTCGCGAAATTTCGTTCTGGAGATTTTAACCTCGAAGATCAACCTCGCAGTGGACGGCCTTCTGAGCTTGATGACGATGTTCTAAGGACTTTAGTTGCGAATAACTCACGTATTTCGACGGAAGAGGTTGCCAGTGAATTGAACGTCAACAAATCAACTGCGTTTCGTCGTTTAAAAAAGGTTGGGTACACTTTGAAGCTCGATACATGGGTGCCACATCAGTTGAGTGAAAAAAACAAAGTGGACCGTATGTCAACAGCAATTTCTTTGCTTCGACGGATCAAAAACGAACCTTTTTTGGATCGGCTCGTGACTGGTGATGAAAAATGGATCCTGTACAACAATGTTCAACGCAAAAGAACATGGAAACAGGCACACGAAGGGGCGGAACCGATGTCGAAAGGTGGATTGCATCCGATGAAGGTACTGCTGTGCATTTGGTGGGATATCCGAGGCGTGATCTATTTTGAGCTCTTGCCAGCTGGAGAAACGATCACTGCCAACAAGTATTGTCAGCAATTGGTCGAATTGAAGAAAGCAATTGATGAAAAACGTCCGATTTTGGCCAATCGCAAAGGAGTTCTTTTCCATCATGACAACGCCAGGCCACATGTTGCAAAACCGACCCTGGCCAAACTGAAGGAGATGAATTGGGAAATCATGCCGCATCCCCCATATTCACCCGACATTGCACCTTCTGATTATCATTTGTTTCGATCGCTGCAGAACAATTTGAATGGAAAAAAATTTAAAAATGTGGAAGACGTCAAAAACCACCTTGACACCTTTTTCAACGAGAAACCGCGCGATTTCTATGAATCAGGCATCCGTAAATTGGTTGAACGTTGGGAGTGGATTGCCGAACATGATGGCGAATACATAATTGATTAATAAAAGCGCTTTCTTCAAAAAATTGCAATTTTAGTTTGCACTTGAAATTGGGCACGAACTTATGCACTCATCAATGGTAAATATAAAGACTTAACAGCATCATCGTCATTCAAAAGACTCGATTGGTAAACCGACACAAGCGAAACAAGCGAGAAATAACATTTAAGGTTATGTGACCTCTCCTCTGGTGAAACTATGTTTTGGCACACCGCTAAATCATTGTCAATACCGACGAGACGCGATGACCGAGTGGAAATTTCATTCGGTAACCGCGACTATTCGGTTGTCAAATTGCCAAACATCAACGCGGCGTTAGATTTCTCCATAGAAAAGGATCTTACTGGGAAAGTCCATCGACGATAGCGAAATAAACATACTGATATGTAAACTTTTGTATCTAGCGAGAGCAGAATGCCGGGAAAACTTGCCCACAGAGGAGAATATTGTCGACCGATATCTCTCCTCCTCTTGCCGCTGGCGAAGATGATGATACTTGTGGCCTTACGGCTCTCGTCTTTCAATAACCACCTTATTGTAGCAGCACATCAGCATGGCCACTTAACGCCGACCCTGCGCTGAGTCATGCTGGTGGCGCTGGATCTGTCAAAATCGAGCAGTAACTGATCTTTACTACCCACCTCTTTGGCCATTAATAGCCGGTGTGGTCGACAATCGTCGGTGGAATTTCTAGGTGGTGTGGTGTACTCAGCTTATTTTTTATATTTCAAAGCTCGGAGGTCGTTTCCCTGATCTCATATGTCTATGACTACACGATATTATCTTTGTTCGAAAGTAAACTGTTTCACGCTGATCCACTTCTTCAGTGCACGCCAAATACAACATCAGACAGTGAAATCAATGGGTATCCACCAGTTGGACGAAAGAGAATCTACAGAGTACATAACAAAAAAACAATCCAAAGTTACTAAAAGTCGCAGTTGACGGCCTTTACTCCTTCACTTCGCAAAGTACAAAACCACAACAGTATTTTCAAATCACTAGTCGGCAAAACTTGGTCTTGGTTTATCAGACACCGCCCGGGGGATTCAAAAGGGAAACCACCTGATGTCAAATGTGCGTAACTTAAAGAGAGATACATCTAACCTCACGGATAAGGAGCATAATGTTTTACTATGCACAGTAGAGATTATCCTTGCCGACATACACTGGCAGTCGAACCATCAATTAAGTGCAGCAGGAAGGGAGTAGTTCGGCTTACAGACTTCATTGAGCATCATATAAAGGAACGAGCTACCTAAACGCTTACAGCGAGTACTTCGACACTTTTATACGCTATGTGAATGGCGTGCTTGGGATCTAACCATTATCCCTAGCCTGGCGAGACTCGATCTGGATAATGTAGCGGACTCTCTATCTGTCCCGAACCGGTTGAAACAGCTCGAGACCTGGAATTCCCATTAAATAACCTCGACGGCGAAAACTAACTTTGTCTGGTCTTAATCGGGGTTGAGCAAACAAAGTATGGCAAATTTAATGTTAGATTTGTTGTGGCAGAGAAATTCAATGTTTATTCCGTGGCACCAAAAGCTATACTTTTTAATATGATGATGATTTCATAACTCGTGATTACAGCCATTTGACTGGGTCTTAAAAAATTTCACAAGCTCTAATAGTTCATCCATGCGTGTATGTTGCTAACACGAGAGCAAGTGCAAATCTTTTGTAGATGCAGCTTTTTGAACCTATCCTTATGAATTTAGCAGTCTTTTTTTTTTTTTTTTGGTACAAAGAATTCCGAGGGCAAAAAAGTGAAACACATGTTTTTAAATATTTTACTGAAATGATTAAAATTAGGCTTTTTATTGTTTTGTTTTGTTTCTTATCCTTTTTGCATTTAACTTAGCGTAATTAGAGTCCTATTAAATAAATCGACATCTTATACATATATATGTGTGTATATATATATATAAATGTACGTAGTAGTATGTTTTTGTTTCTTTTTCATTTTGTGAATTTATCAAAAATCCGTTAATAGTTAATAAAAAAATTATTATATTCACACAATAAATCTTAAATAAATTGTAATACAACTAGGGAAAATGCTTATTCGTTAGAATTACATGTGCTATTTATATGTATATATTATAATATGTACTTCATTTACTCCACTATTATAAATATAATTCAATTTCTTTTCTAAAAAGCGTATTAAATTATTCTCCGTGCGATACTTGCTATTTACAAGCAAACAAGAAAAAAAAAACTCTACTTACAGACTTAACAATTAATGTCTACACATATACATATGTCCGATCAATATTAAATGCGTTTGTTAAAAATTAAATTTTCTTCAAACGCCAATAAATAGATTAATTTCAATGCACTGACTTTTGTCAACCAAGCAGATTCGACGCTATTCCAACATTCGTTAAGCTTATTTACATGGATTATACGATTTAAGTCATTTAAGTGTAATATCCCTTTTATATATTTATATGCTTAAACACAAATGTAATAACTACCTAACATAGATAATAATGATAATAATAAATTATAGGAGCTGCTCATTCAATGTAGGGTTAATATTCCTCCTCTTCAAACCCTATTTATTAATAGGATGATTAAATTATTAAAAGCTGAACTAAATAGTAATATTCATTTTTATGCATTTGTATGCATCCGTATTTCCTCTTCTCTTCTCTTTTGTTTTTTTTTTTCGTTTTTCGCGTTCGCGATTATACTTTTAAGGGTTAAATTAACGCGCTGCTTCTTATGTATTATAATTTTATGATCGCAAAAAATAAATTAGTAAACTGAAAAAAAAAAACAGACAATTTTGCATGGAAAATATGTATGTATTTCTTAAAATCTAAAATCGCGTTAAACTGCAAGTATTCAATCATTATCATAAATAAACTTAAACTAATGAAAAAAAGCAAAGTAAAAGAGTAAAATCAAATCAAATCAAACAGAATTATATACAAAGTGTGACATTTATATACAAGTTAATGTGCGCTGAGGCTGGCCGAAGATGTCTTTTCTGTGCCCGTGCCTGTGCCTGCGCCTTGAGCTCTCCCCTCAATATCTGCTTATTGATTAATCAACATGTGCGCGCACGCTCTGACGACGACGTTTGCCACCGCCGCCACCCGACGACGACACATACTTCGGCCGAATTCAGCTTTCTAATTGCCTATTATTGCTGCTGTTGCTGTTGTTGTTATTGTTATTGCCTGCAGCACTACTGCCAATATTCAACTTATAAGCCGTCTCTGTTGCCGTTGTCAATGTGAGGTGTGTCGCTGTCGCTGTTGCCGCCGTCGCCACCGTTGTCGCCGAAACATTTGGGTTCGCCGCAGTTTGGCCACCAGCGCTCAACGTAGTAGGCGCTGCTGTGGCTACGTGTGTTGTTTGTTGCGCCTGCGCGCCACTATTGCTACAATTTATGGCAGCTGCCGTTACCGTTGTAGTGCCAGCCGCTGTTGTGACATCTGTTGCTGTTGAGATGGCACTGCTGTTAACGCCGCTAACGGCATTTGTGCTATTGGCAGCGTTGCCGCTTAATGTAACTTTGTAACGGTTATAAGTGTGATATGGCGTACGCTTGATATCATTTTGTTGTATTATTTTCGTTTTCAATGCCCAATTGACACTGTTTGGCACATTCTTGCCCAGCAACCAATCCGTGCATTGTTGTTGCGCCTGATCACTCACATGCTCCACCAACCACTTTTGTAAGACGCGTTGGAAGCGTTTATTTTTGCGTTGCGTTACCTTGGCATGTGACTGTAAGAAGAGAATTGATGAATGAGTTAAGAAATTGTTCAACTGTGTACTGCGGGTAGTTATATTTAAAGCAGGGATCCACCAAACACTTGCTGCGTTATGTGTCAAGAGTAAAAAAAATGTTCATAATTGTGAATTGAATGACCTAAATTGTTGATTTGCACTGATCGGCAATACTTTTTGTCTCATTTTATTTTAAGCAAGAACTTTCAAATATTAAACCTTAGTTTAAAAGAACTAAAGGGTTTGATAGATAACTTTCGCTGAATCGTTTCAATAACTTTATTAGAAGATTAGAATCAAGAAATGTTTGACTTGTGTAGCCTAAGATTTTTCTTGCTCTGTAAGAAGGATGATTTGTTGATTTTTCTAAGAAAATTCGAGTAAAAACAAAATTTAGGGCAAAGCTTTTAAGTTGAAGGTTAGTCAAAATATACGACAATCGTAAGAAATATATAAATATGTATGTACATACACAACTTTTTATTGTATCAAACATTCTATATTCTGCTGAACAAGGGATTTTATGTTTACTTATGTTTATTAATAAATTAACGTCGATAGTTAGTTAAGACCGTTTGGATCCGAGATCGAAAGTATATATCCCACACTACAACATCAAAAACCGTCAAAACTCATAATTTTCCAAATATTTTTTTTTCTCTTAAACTAATTCATTGAAAACTTCTCTAACCCCTGAAAGAAAAATGTTAATTACAGTCCTTCATAACTGGAAAATTGCAGCTATGACTGCTCAACTGCAAATTCGAGTTTGTTTGAGTTGTGATTCGTTTTTGATTTAGCGTTCAAGTGTACCCACCATTTTCGCACGTCGCACCGAGTCCCATTTGAACAATTGGAGATTCTTATTAATTGTGATCACTTGACGACCAGATGCATTGAATTTGATTTCGTCGCGATCGTTAACAAAGTACTTCTCAGCACCACTGCCCATCACAATGCTACCCACACGCTCTGGCGCCCGCTTATTCCAACTCCAGTGGGGTTCGCCGCCAGCCGTAACAACAGCCGCATCATTACCACTGCTCGTCGCCAAATCGACTGAACTACCGCTAGCTGCACCACCTTCGGCTGGGGAGTTTGCCGCTGCCGCTGCCACAGTTGCTTTTGTTGTGGCGCCCTTTAATTGCAGCAAACGTGTCTGCTGTTCGGCGCGTAGGCTAGTCAGGCGCTTGTTGCGCTTAAGGAAACGTGCCTTACGCACAATGTGCGTGTCCTGTGTGAGAGAGAAGAATGGGTAAATAAATAAACCAGTTATTACTTAGTTGAAATAATATTGTGTTATTGTTGCAAAGTCTTTGCTGAGCTTGTAAAATCACATGAACTTATTTCAGCCCAATAAAGAAATTTGTTACAATGAAATTAAAAATATATTTATAAATTACTAAGCATGCAAAAAAAAGTTATAAACGATAATACTAAACTTATTACAACATAACCTAAAAAATATAACAAATATTCTACCGACACGTAGTAAAAGACTTAAAAAGTAAGTAACATATATATATTTTGCAGATTTAAATGAAAATATGAATGAACGAGATAATTTTCACGATGGACAGTAATCGCAAAAGTAAATATTTATGTAAGTACCAGGTCAAACGAGTCTTTTTTCAAGTATTTTCGCTCTTTTTATTCAGTTTATACTGCACGCATACGAAAAAATTTAGAAAAAAATTAATTGTTATTTGCATACATATAAACCACACATAACGGATAGAATAACTCATACAAATTATGCACGAGTAGACTTTTTTTTACTACAAAAACAAAAATATATGTGCATATTTATTTGGTATTTTTCAGTGCATACATATATTATGGGAAAAAAATTCTCAATAAATAAGAAAACAAAAAAACATTATTGCTAAATAAATAATAACTATAAAATCACCAAACGAACGCGCTGCTAAATGCCAATTAAAGCAATATTTTGGAAAAACAAATGTAGTACAACAACTAAAAAAATCAAAGGTATGCATTCGAGTGAAAAAAATTATAACACACAGAGAGAGAGATAATAAGTGTAACTGCAAAGTAACAAAAACAAAAATCACCATCAACAACAAGGAACTCGCACACGGACTTGAAGAGCTCAGGCGTTGGCAAAGGGCAGGAGGCAACGAAAGAGCATACAAATACAACAAGCACTCAATTTTTAACTTATTTTCCAAAACATCTAGCCCTCCTGCATTTCCTCCTCCCGCCTTTATGCACTACATCACACAACAACAAATACATATGTAATCAAATATTATTTGACAATTTTGGAACATAACGCCTACTGGGCGGCTTGCAAGTTTAAGACTTACCTTACTTACTCGTATATATTCGCTAGTATCGAGTAATTGTCACACAACCATTCGTGTATAAACATACATACTATTTTGCATGAGTTTGCAAAAAAAAACATGCGCAATTTTCTTTTATTTCAGGCAAGGGCCATGTTGTATTAGTGTGTGTGTGTGCGTGTAATTATAAACATAGTTCGAAATACGCAAATATAATGCTTATTTCTTTCTTTCTTTCTAGTAAGAAAACTCGTTATGATGTCCTCAAAACCATTTTCCGTAAGAATAATAAAAATGTCCTCAACTCTTTTGTAAAACAATAGCATTTATTTATTTATTTATTAATTAATCGCCAAAAATGTTAAGTTATAGTAAATAGTTCTCTTTCTGTTTGGCATTTAGCCGCACGTGTGTGTATTAACTTTAAAATTATCTACATTTCAAAGCTATTCAACTACTCAATTATCCGATTGCTTTTGCGTTCACATTTTTATCAATTATTTTTAAATGTATTTTAAGTTTAGTTTTTCAAAATATTTTGAGTTTCTACATATAACATTTTTTTCTTTCCTTTTTTTTAGTTTTGATTGTATTTACGTAAAAAAAAAAATTAAAATAAAACAAAATTTACATTTATAGTTAACAAGTGTTATATGTTTGCTTTTTTTTTTTAGAAGAGCCGTTTCGATTTTCGTTTCTATATGCCAGTAATACTAAATTGACGTTGACACCTTTAATGGATATTACAACGTGTTCCTTTCACATTAATATCTATATGTATGTACTCGTCGTATGTCTAAGATTCTACTAATATAATGTATCGACTTCAAAATCTAAATTGTAAAAAGTGTTCTTATATTTAATTTTATACAACAGTGTGAATTATTATATATTTACAAGAAGTTTTTGAACGTGCCAAATCAAGCAATGAATAAGAAAAGACCAAAACCAGAAAAAAATTCCAATTTAAAAATGTTTTTGGTGGAATTCCGTTAAAAAATGCAAAAACTGTTTTAATTTTCGTTAACAAAAGTCGTAAATTGAGTGTTAGACCACAGCTAAATAAATAAAAAAAGGTAGAAATCGAGAACCGAAAAAAATGTTAAAATATAACGGTTTAATTTTTTTCTTTTTTTTTTTTGAGCGTAGGAACAACAGTTGAAAAAAAATGTATAACAATTTCATAACAAAAACATAAAATATAAATAGAAAAATAAAAAGAAAATATTACAATAAAACACAAAAAGTAAAAAAAGTTGAAAAAATACCACTTTTTCTATGCTCAGCCACAGTAGCTGCTGCTTGAGAATTGCATATTTTTTTTGGTAAATTTACTGCATATTTTATACATTTGTTTTTGCATACTACAATATTTTTCAAATGTGCAATTATGTTTCTGCTGTGGTGTTTTTGAAATTAGAAAAAAATTCTGTATAAGGTGTAGTCGTTTATCATTCGATTTTTTATCTGCAGTAAATTTGCTTTTAAATTTTTACTATTTTTTTTTTTGTTTATACTTCGTTATTATTCCTAATACTAATTGTTTTAAGCCTTGAAGGAGGGTTTGACCTGGTACGAAGAAATTGAAAAATGAGAAGAAATGCAAAAAAGCATTAATTAGTGATTTGCGACGACTTATTCGTTTGTGAAGTGAGAATTTAATAGACGAACCATTTGCACAAAAAAAAAATACAAAAATACAAAATTAACAACAAAAAAAAGCGCAATAAAAAACAATTGTTTACGACAATACAATATCAAGCGGTGCAGCAACGGAAATTAAATGAAGAATAAATATTTATATACTCGTATGTTTTGTATGCACTACATACATATATAACTAAACAAAGACTCACGAATAAAACGAAAAATAAATTGCTGCATTGGCATTTAACATACGTACTTGTTGTTAGGGCTTTCGAGGAGGTGAGAGAGAAGGAAAGGTAAACCAAGTATTTTTTTACTTCCAAGTAGGTAACTGGCATTGGAATACCTCGTTGGTATATGAGAAGGTGATTTTCTAATTATGTATAGTACTATGTATTGTATGTCGGCGTGTATGTTATGTGATTTTGAAATACATATTGTGCGTTTAAGAGTGTCTCAGCATTTTTTATTAATATTTACGAGCATGACACTAAGATCATACAATTGATTAAAATTTTTCATTAAAAAATATAATGGGAACATGGAAATATTTACTTGTGCACGTCTGCTTGTTTGTATTACTCGTTATTGGTTCAGTTTGATTTTGGAAAAAAAATTTATTACAATGATTTTGTAGTAATTTTCAGTAATTAAATGTTACATAAAGTTAATTAGCATGTTGCACTTTAGAACAATAATGTTGGTTTTGCCGCGTCTTATGACTGTATGCCGTTCATTCACTTCTCTCCTGCTCGCCACTTTTTTTAATATCATATTTACACATACAAATAATAAGAAAAACACAGAGTTTTCAACGTTTATGTTTCTCGAATTTTTAATTTCAAATTAATTTTAAGAAGTTGCTCGCAACAACAACAAACTTTCAAGTACTGTAGTATAATGGAAACGAAGCAATAATTTGAGTTTAGTAAACGTTGAAAACTCCTTGCAAAAACAATAATTATAATTATAACAACTTAATGAACGAGTCTACAACTAAAAATAATTGTAATAAATTTAAATAAGTAAATTCTTATCCAAAAACTATAAATTGAAATAAACTTTTGCTCTGTCTACTCACCATTGCCTCTTCGTCCATCCGTTCAAGCTTTATTTCGCTCCCATTCGAGTCCACGAAATTGCTGGAAATCACAGGCATGCCTACCGCATTCGAATTGGCTGTATTTGTATTGTTTGCGCCACCAGCATTACCAGTCAGACTGCCAACACTAATGGTGGAAGAGTTTATGGAGCTCATAGTATTTTGGCCACTAACACTATTTGCCGTAGGATTGGCTAGACGATCCACATATTTATTCCATGATTTTACTTTGTTCAAAGGTTTTTCCGCCTCTTCAACTTCGGTGTCGAGCAGTTCAATCGTCACGCGACAATCAATTTTGTACTACAGAAAAAAATAGTATCACATAAGTAAGTGTTAATAAATATTGTACATAAAAAAACACAAGCAGTTGATGACTACCCAAAAATAAAAAAAAAAAGTCTTTATACATGTCAAATACTCACAATATACACTTTGAAGCAGTTCTCTTCATGTAAACTGGCCTCAGCTTTGCGTTGATATGCCAATTCGTTGGCAAAGTTCTTTTGAACCTCACGACAAAATCCACCTGCGCCACCACGCCTTTGCTCATGATGGAACAGTTCAACGCACTCGATTGCACCACGTTCGGTGACACAGTTTTGCAGCTGTCGCACGGCATTCGAAACCACCTGCAAAGCAAAATAAAAAATTCAATAAAATAATATTCGTATACAGAGACAAATAAAATAATTTCATCAATAAATAGTTTGCAATCAATACATACCTTATCAAGCGTGAAGGATATGTATGCATGTATGCCAAACATTTCACGCATAGCATCCTCGAATGAATTAGAATCCATATTGCCGTCTAAGACATTTTTAAGCATATCAAGGAATGCTGGATAGTAGTCTTCAACTGGTATTTCAGATTTCGGTTTCAGTCTTAGTGCTGTCGCTGTGCTCTCACGACGATTTGAACGGTGGCGTTCCTCTTCGACAGCCAGTAAATGCGCTCGCTCATACATTGTACTTAAACGCTCACACAAAATGGCATGTAGTCTCAAGAATAAGTACCAATTGTTGTTGGCAAAGAATAGTGTGTACGCTTCGTCCTGTAATTTAAATTAAAAATGAGACCAATTAATAATGAAATTCAAATTATGTGAAACGACATAAAATTTTTATATATATATATAGGCCAGTAAAAAACCAATTTAAATCAAATGATGATGTATACAGCTTAATTTTTCAATAATAATATTATGGATTACTTACCAAATGCTTGCTAATAGCATGAGGCGGCAATTGTATATCAACATCCATATCCTGCGTTTCCTCCTTAATTTCAACTTTTAACGCGTCAATGGAATTGCACCCACTAACTGCGGCTTGAGCTTGTGTAGCCGTGATTGTGGTTGTGGTTGATAAACTTTTACCAGTTGTTGTTGTTGTATCAGCAGCATAGCTATTATTTTTCTCTGCATTTGTCTTATGCGAAGTTGTTGGTGTTGTGGGATGAGCTGACGTTGCAGTGCCTGCACCATCACCTTTGTGTGCAATTGCATTGTTGTCACCGCCGCCAGAGGCACCACATAAATTATTTCTTCCTGTTGCTTTACTCTCGGGCGTAGACACCATTGATACTGGTGACATTGTTGTCGTAGACACCAATAATGGACTGGTATTGGGTGTTATTGTTGTTGCAGTTTCATCAGCATCGACAGTTGTTAAATTATTGCTAGCATTTTGGCTCTTAGCGAACGTGGGCGAATCTTTATTAGTGGAGGCGCCTTTTTCACCCACCGACTGTATTGGTGTTGCAGATGTAGTAACTTTGGAACCCGCATCAGGATTTGAAGTGGTGTTGTTGTTGCTGCTGCTTACAGCTGACGAAATGGGCGTTTCCTTATTCTTGTGATTTTCTATCGAATTGTTGGATTCGGGGGGCGTTGTTGGCGAATGCGATGTCGGCGAACCTTCGGTTTTGGAGCCGGCAGCTCCGCTTGCAGTGTCAGCGTTAGATGTGTTACCACTGGATGTTCTACTGCCTTTGCCGCTGCCACCACTGTTGGTGTGCAAATCACGTTCACTCCTGTTACCTGTTGCATTGCCATCGACATCCATTTTTTCGTTATCATCTAATAAAAATGGGAAAACTTTAGAGATAAGAACGTGAGGCAAGGCAAAGCGAGAAATATATAGAATAGGATGAGGTGGGGAAAGTGAGGTGTATATAAAAGCAGTTTTATGTGAGATCAAATGCAGCCAGAATGCAGTTAGTTTTTATTTTTATTATTATTTTTTTTTATTATTTAAACATAGAAAACGTTTGGATCGTTAATAGCAGTAAAAAGAAACAGTTGAAGAGTGAAATGTGAAATAATTAGAAATTTTTATCATAGATAAAATTAAGGCAGTAAATTATAGGGATAAATAATTTTTTGATAAATGTAGAAAAAAGAAAAAAAAGGGGGAAAAAAACAAAATTTTCTAAATTAGTTATATTGAGCCATAGAAATAAATCAATTGAAAATTAAAAATACATACATATGTACAAATAGTTGCATTTTTATACACATGCATGAAAGTACTAAAAACATATGTATGCACATATATGTACTTTTTAAATTTTAAGTATCTAACTATACAATTTTGCTTGATAATTTTTAAAACTTGTATGATGATATGTTAATTATGTATTTATGTATGCATTAAATTAAGATGTTTTTATAAAAGACTACTCACCATCTTCGCGTTCATCATCACTCAGTGGTTGTCGGGCCGAGAAGAATAGATCGGGCACGAACTGTCGCAATATATGTTTGATTTTAGTCTTTTCTTGTTTCTGTATGCCTGTCTGACGCTTGACATGATGAATTAATAAATTTGCTGCATCATCTAGTATGGTTTTATCTTTATATGGCAACACCAGATGAGGTCCGGTAATTGGTTCGCCATTCTCATCATCTTGATCGTGGCGCTAAACCAGAACAAGATAGGAATTTTGTTTATTGTATTTTTCGAATTATGGAGAACATCACCATCAATTAGTTGCTGATACCTACCTCATCGTACAATGTTTCGATTTCGTTGAAGAGATTTTTGGAACGCAATGCCTTCATGTCATTTGGCTTAAAATTGATTGCTTGATGATCTAGTGACTTCAAGTAATATTTTTCATTCTGTTCCCTCCACAATTTATTAAAACCCTAATAGGAGAGATAGAACAAATATTTATACATTAGTATTGTGCGCAAACATCTTCTTATATAGGCAATTTTAACATGATAATGATAACTGATATACAAACTTACTTTTTGCGCATCCCGCCACTCTTCTTCTTTAACCTTCAACCTCTTCAAAACAATTGGCACCGCAACAGAAGGATTTTTCTTCAGACCTTGTATTATTTCGCCTGCCTTATCACCATATATACGATAAATAGCCCTTTGGTGTATGGTCTGCGAAGTACCACCCAAATAGTCGTCCAAATAATAGCGGCTCAACTCCTCCGGTGACATGCGCGACATCTTTTTCTGCACACCCTCTAGCACACGGATCGTGGCGCTATTCGTTTCGATCACGACATCCAATTCGAAGCGTTCATCTTCCGTCCTATGAATATTCCTTTGTTTAGAATTTTTGTGTTTTAAAAAATTATTCAGAATCTTGAAGTGTTCAAAATTTGTGTGAATTGGATTCATGAATATGTATGTATTTATGTATTTTGTTCTGTTGTTTTGAAATGTAAGTGCTCATGAACAAAAACAAGAATGATATGCAACATTCATGCAAATGCATTTAAAAATTTTCAAACCTACCTGTAAATGGTTTCCTCGAATTGAGTTTTACGCGATGTGACAAAAGTTGAATCTTCACTGGCCCAAGTCGGAAATGATACCCATTTGTCATTCAACACTTCGCGACATAGCGGTGTACGTCCCGAACACTTTTTCGGCACAATGGACTGTGGCAAGGCACAGTAAGAAGCACCAAGACGTTTACACGAGGTTAAATCGATATCTTGTGCCAATTCGCCGCCTTGATGATTGCCTTGCCGATCGTTCAATGCATTGCTGCCGATATTACTATTTTGCCGATGTGCTGCTTGCAGGGGTATTTCCTCTAAGCCGAAAATACCAGTACCGCCACTACCTGGTCCGCCGCTACCGCCAGAGGAAATCGGCGCTACTGGTTGTCCCAAAAATTTAGTAAATCCACTCAATAAATCAGGGAATTTATTCAAGAATGGTGTTACTAAATTCAATAATTCAGTCTTTGACACAATCTCCTGATTGAATAACGTTAGACAACGTAAAAAGTTGTCGTACACATCGGGATTTCGCAGTGCTTTGCGCACCTTATCGAAGAATGCAGCGTCGGAGATGGTACACTTTCGCGATGCTTCTGAAAACGAGACGTCTTTGCATATTGGCTTGTGTTTCTTAGTAGGTGGTGGTCCGCTGCCAAGTCCACCGCCACCACTACCACTACCGCCATCATCAATTGCTGGACGTCGCGTTCCAGCAATGTGACCAAGCACTTGCTGCGAATAGTTCATGCCAATGGCAGAGCGATCTACACTCATTGAAGCATTGCCACTGCCACTCAGCGATCCCATGCCTGAGCTGTAACTTGGCGACTTTTTCGAAGAGTGACCGGAAACGCCACTAATATTGGAGCCTTGAGCGTGTGGGTATTTTAGACCACTTATCGCATGGTGATTACTGCGATGTGTATCTTTTTCGTAATTGCGAATACTTGACGGAACATTTATGTCGTGAATTACAGCACCGGTGCTTACAACACCATCATGCAGCACTTTCAAATGGACGCCGCTACTGGGGTGCACGGTTACATGATGAGGGTAATCTTTGTCGTATACAACCTCACCACCACGTCCGCCGACAGCGCCAGAATTTATCACATGATTTTGCGACTGTTGTTGCGCATTGTTGTATGACTTAATGCTCACACTCGTATTGACTGCAGATAGGTTACCCAATACCGTGGCATGTGTACTGCTGCCGATTTGTGATAATGTTGCGCCACTATTGAGATGCAACGGTGAGCCAGATGACGATGGCAAGGGCATATGATGGGCACCGCCGCTTCCACCGCTGCTTATAGCACCACCAGAAGCGCCACTCATTGCACTACCAACTGTGCCTGCGTTGGTGCGTTTGTGATCGTTGTGCGATTTAGACAAATATTGAACGCCTTGATGATTTGTAGCGTCTGGAAGAAATTGGCCAAACTCCCTTAGTAGATCCTCATCCTGACCAAATAACTTTGCAACTTGTGTGTAAACTTCTTGCTCGGTTAAGGTTTTTCCTTGATTGGGACTACCCTCTTTTATGATTTTTTGCTCCTTTTGGTAAGTATGGAGAATTTCAAGGAATTTTTTATATTTCTCTGGTTTGTTTTGGAAGCGATTCTGAAATAGAAAATTATTAAACATGAGTATATTAAATTCTCTATGTAAGTGCTAAGCAATAATATATAGAAATAAATTGTATCTAGATATGTGAGTAAAATAAAAGATAATCCAAGGCATAATTTTTGTTGACACTTTCGCAAAAATGAGTGCCTAAATTTTTAAGAAGTTATCCCTGGAAGCACAAATACGTGCATTCCCAGAAACCTAAAAGGTATCCTCCCTTGAAATCTTTTTTTGAGTTACAAACAATTGATACTCTGACCAAGTGATTTCCGATTGTTTTCTTTGTACTCTACATTATCCAAAAATATTTGGATTGAAAAAAAATTTGATTTAAAAATTTCCAAAATCTCTTTTCGCAGCTCGTAGTTTTTTGGAGCTGTATTTCTAAAATGGAAATTTCCATATAAGTGAAAATAAAAACAAAAGTTTTACACTCTGATCAATTGAAATCTAAATTTGGTACTAAATACCAACACAGTTTCAATCCTAAGTACAGTTCTAGTAACGTTTATTTTACACACCCATGCAAAACTAAATGGATTAGGAACATTTTACTCACAGACACACCTAATATTTTTCGTAAACATATAAAAATAACTATATTGGCACTTACCTTAATTTTATTAACATAAGATATGGCATGATTGAATTCGACGGGCTGATTTTGTTGACCGACAGTTTCGCCCATGAGTATTGACTGATGCGCTTGTGAAATATGGTGCAGATTATGATGTGAATTTCCACCGCTTCCGCCGCCGCCGCCACCTGTATTGTTCATTTGTGGCGTAAGTTCGCTGAGTGAATTGAGTGTTGCCGGACCACCACCCATGCTGCTAGTGACTACGGCTTGTGCTATACTGGGACGGTCCCGGTCTCGTGAAAAATTTTGTGGTAAATGTCCAGATGATACAGGTGCCACTGTTACGCTTTGCATTTGTGTCACAGACGATGGTGCGGGCGAAACAGAAACGTGAGCATGTTGCGATATTCCTGGTCCGCTTGGTGATGGCTGTGAAGCAGTGGATTGTAAAGCATGTATTGTCGTTTGAGACAACGACGCACCACCATGCGTCATAAGATTCACCGCTATACCAGTGCTGTTACTGGTACTACTGGTTGGTAATTGGTGGTGTTCCAAACTGCTTGGCGCGTTACTAGAGCTGCTTTGATTAGCCCTATTGATTATTGTTTGCATATTTCCGACGCTACCACTAACGCCTGGTATATTGCCATGTAGACTGGTTGGCGATGCTGAAGGCATCGATACAACGGGTACCGAAACGCCAAGCTCATCTGAATGTATTTCGATTTTATAACCTGCTGGTAGAAACATGTTGAAGCCATAAATCAATTCTGTATGTCCCTTAAACAAATTGGACACACGTTGTATAACTCCGGGTGTGTCAATACAGTGGGACTTAAATTCTTTCATTATATCCAGAAAGTTGTTGTAAATTTGTGGTTGGTCAGCATATTGAAATTTTACTTGATCCAAGTAACTTAGTGCATCCTCCACTTTAAGACGAGGAGGACCGATGGCCGGCTGACCGGGTTGAGCCGGTGTTGTTGCTAGCGGAGCTAGACCTGTCAATACTTGTGGTGCGTTCAAATTACCACTAGTGCCGCTACTCACAGAAATATTTTGCGAAGAACTAATCGTTCTTGTGCGGAGAGAATTTGGCTGAGATCCAGAATTCGGCACGTTACTACCAGCTCCACCCGTTACATGAATTTGCACGGTTCCATCAGATGATGTTTTCATATTACCACCAACAGTGGAAGATACAGATGAAGCATTGTAGGCTGAAAGAAATAAATGAATAAATGTAAATGTTAGATCATATGCTTAACTTGCATTTAAATTTCATGATTTCTTAAAAAATTATCATGATGGCAAGATTTCTTTACTTACAAGATGGATACTGCACAGCCTGTGTATGAACAGTTCCTGCATTGACTGTTCCGGAGACACCCCCACCGGAGGTAACAACCGTTCCTCCTGATAGCTGCACAGAACCGCTGCTGCCTCCTGCACTATCGTGACTTGCGGCACCACCGCTACTAGTACTACTATCTACTAATCCAGTAGTAGATTTCAAGTTGGCTGCCGCTGGTGTGGTTGATGGCAAATATGCAATGGTCTGCGCACCACCATGTTGTGGTATTACTATACGATGATGTGGCATCGAACCAGACGCGTTGCCACCAGACAAACCGACGCTTAAGCTGGAACTGCCATGACTGCCGGGAACCACAGCGCCAATATTAACTGTGTTGGCGGAATTGGAGCTGCCCACCAAGCCAGAGACGTTGCCTCCACCACCTCCTCCACCGCCACTTCCACCCACTCCACCAGGGCCGGGACGAGTGCCATATTGGACTTCATCCACGCGAGTACGCTTCATCATTTTTAAAATAAACTTTGTTTTACTTTTATCGTTGTCTTTATGCACTTTTCCTTTGTAAATTAAAATAAACTACTACTAATAGTAGCTGTCAGCAAATTTCACCGATATTCCGTAAAACCAACGTCGCTTTTTAATTTCAATTAAATTGTAATTCTTAACTATTAAGTTGTTATTTTGGTAAAACGGAATAAATTTTCCTTTCTTCAAACTCAAATTTCAACTTCCGCACTAGAGATGAATGCGTTTTGTGTTTATATAGCAAATGTTTATATGTTGGTTGAGGCTTTGCTTGTAGTGAAGTGCGATTACTACGTTGCCTTTTCATTGCGCCGTGCGCGACTATCCTTTCCAAATGTTAAGAATAGAGACTCAAATACGAATTTCGTAGCTGCTGCTCAAATTGTCTGCTGTTCTATTATGCTGAATCTACAAATACGAAAGAGAAAGAATTATAAGTTCTTTTGTATTTAATACAATATAGTAAGTGCGACCTTAAGGACATACATTTTTTTTTTGAACATTTACATATTTATCTTTTGAGCAAAATTAAAACGTTGCAGTTAAATTAAAACGAAAAACAATTGACAATTAAAATGTATCTAAGACATAATACTTCCGACAATTTTATGTAGAAACAAGTGTATATACATAGAGCTACTTCTTGGAATTTACATTAGGTTTGTCAAAAAAAAAAATAAATAAAAAAAATACAGAGCTACCTGGGTTTGTGCAACTATGCTTTGCACTTCTCAAAAAAATCAGCATTTTTTCTCTACAACTCTTTTTGAAAAACATATGAACGTCACCAATAAATAAACATTATACATACATACATACATACATATTTATGTACGCAAAAGAGCTTCACTACAGAGGGTGTAGAAAAGAAAAAACAGAATATGCAAAAAAGCGAACTATTGGTGCTTAACGAGAAAATACCTAACCCAAACTTCACCTTGTTCACCTCAAAATCTATGCCCATCCATCGTCATCAGACTGACCCGCTCGTGTGCGTGCACTTGCTAGCTAACTATCTGTATGCATTTGGTAAGAAAAAAAAGTCGAATAAATGAAAATTTTTTAAATACATATGAACTTGTAATACACACCGTCGGCGTGCAATCACATGTATGAGCTTGTGAAAATTTTTAATACATAAATATATACAGTATAAGTATACTATAAATTCATGTACAGACATTCATCTCGAGTAAAAATTGTGCGAGTAATCTTAAAAAAAAAAAAAAAAAAAAAGATTAGGCTGTAAAAGGTTATTACCCACAACTAGTTCCAAATTTTGGATATTTAGTTACTTGTGGTATAGATCAACTAATTGCCCAACGTCTCTCAAACCAAACAAAATAAATATTTATATTAAAATAAGTATTCTCAAACGTCAAACGTCTGATCAAAAATGCATCAAAAGTGTATTCTTTTTTTTACCGTACCCAAAAGTCACTCCGCATGAATTGCATGGTGGATAAGTACCCTAAATGTAGCGTATATGTATCTAAATATTTGATTTTATTAATTTTATTCTACGTTTTCACAGAAGAAAAAAAAAGAAATGATTAACTTTAATAAAAGTTTGAAGTTTAAGGAAATGGAGAACTCAAATACGTAATAAAAATATATTTTTTGCTGCTTATATTCAAAAATGTGTGCGTAGACATGTATCTTTCAATATATCGGCACATCTATACAGTAAAAACTAAATCAACACGGCATATATATTTGTGTAACAGATATATAGCAGACGTCATAAGTTTTGATTGTTGTGGCATCACAACTGATGTTTGAGCACCTACACACCTCCAACATATGCAAAAAATTTGTTGCACAATTACACATTCTCGTCCACTAAACTCTTTCTACATTATTTATTTATTTGATTTTAAGTGATTTTCGTATTTTTGTTAATCACAAGTTTAATAACGATATTTCGGAAATAGCAAAGTTTTAGCTTTTTTAATTAAATTCAAATACACACCATTATATATTACACATTTTACTTGTAGGTACACACACGTATTTATTTTATATTTTCTTTCCCGCCTAGTTGTTAGCTCGTTCCTCTGCATCACTTTATTACATAGCTGACCAAAATTTCTCATTTATGTTTATACAACTGATGAGATTTGGATTTATCAAAGCACACAAAAATTTACTCAGACTAGAAAAAATTTACAAAATTGCATTATTGCATTAATATATATATTTTTTTAGAAAAAAAAAAAGAAACATATGAATACTTTTTTTAATCGATTAAACATTGTCTGAGTATTCGAATATTTTATTATTGTAAACTGTACTAGCAGAGATAAGGAAAAATACAAACACTTCGTCGTTCGCTGATATGTGCTCGTTGGTATGTAGCAAGAGAAAGCGACGAGCACAACCGAGCCATACAAATCAAGCGCACAAGCGCGCTAAAGTGAAACAACCTCAATGAGCGCCACTAGTTTGACATCATCGCACGAATGGGTGTAAAGGAGAAATAAAATGACACAATCCTTGAAAATGAGAATACTTGTGTGCGCGAGTAGTTTTAGTATGTTGTTTTTGTTATTGTTTTGAATGGGTCAGCAGCAATGACGACGGCTACGACTGGCTCGCTGACTGACTGCCTGACTAGCTGAATAGCGACGGTAGCCAAAAGCTACACGGAGTGGAATATTCGAATGCGCTCTCGCGAACATAACGCACTTGGGAGAAACAAAACTAAATACGTTTGATGACTTGACTTCCAAGCAAGACTTCCTCGACAAAGCAGTACCCAAACGAACTTATAATCGCAAACGAATATTTTAAGACGCGGGGTAAAGTGGGCATGCATAGGGTTTCCCTCCATTTTTTTCTGCTGGTATCTTATCTTCATATGTACACAATATAATTTGCATTCGTTGCTATAATTAATAATATGGGGATATGTAACATATGTATACATACTAAAAACGTATAGAAGGAGGAAACCGCCAGTTTACTTAGACACAATATTGTCTTTCATAAAAATGGAAATTGAATTTATCTATTCTCAGGTGTTTCAGAACGTGTAAATAAAGTTACATTTTATGTTTTTTTTCATAGACTTCTTGAATATTTTGAACGATCTAACCATTTCGCTCTATTAATAAATATGCGAATAAACCATAAATAAACAACCGAAAACGGAATTACAATAAAAGCAAATGAGTAAAATAAAAGTAAATTTTCAAGTCGTTCTCGGCATTCATTTTATATAAATATGTACATATGCGTGTATGCACGTATGTATATGTATTATATTTTGCTTTTGTTTTTTATTTTCACCAAAAGGCGTACGACAACCGAACAGCCGAATGTGACCGAACTGGTGTAACGATTTGATATTGTTGCCACTTGCGGGTTTTCCATTTAACCCATGAATATTCTTTAAATACACAAAAATTGCTCAACACTATTTAGATTTATTTTTGATACATATGTATATTTGTGATTTAATATACAAATTATTTGCATAGGCACACACAGGCATGTATCCACTCAGATATTTTAACAGGTAGGATTTCTTGAAATATACATTTCACATTTTGACAAAAGTTTGTAAAGTGGCAAGCTCTAACCGTCCTGTATATATACATTATTTGTATATCCATACATATGCATATAAAAATTCAACAGCGGCTCGCAGTTGACTTTATCGTCGTTGCCAGTCATACGTATTTGTCAGAAAAGAAAATCTTTATACATACATCATACTCACTGCATGTATGGATGTATTTGAACTTTATATATTTTTTAATGTGTGTGTGCATATGTTGAATGTTCACGAGCGCGCTTGTATATACATATATTTATATACGTATGTGCACGATGACGGCGGAGGTGAAACAGGGAACAAAACGACGTATATAAACCAATTGAATTGACCTAACCTAAAAATTTATGTAGTTTTTCTTTCAACTTCTGCTGCTTGCAATTTTTACAAAAATACGTCTATTTTAAGCATTTTTTGTGAAATTTTGTTTGGAAACCTCTGCAAATTCATTAAAATACATAAATTACTAGACAAATACATCTTTAGGAGGAAAAATTCACTTACATCAGCACCGTCACCAAATACTGCGAAACCAATTTTATATTGGCCTTTGTTTTATATCTATGTTCAGTTTTCGTTAACACAATTAATTCTTCCACAATTCTACTAAACTTTTACTTCATTTTCAGTTTATGCTAAATAGTTATATACGTTTACTCGCTCCGCATATTCCATAATTTTATTTGACGATTCAATTCACAAATAAATCAATTCAGTACAATTAAAACTTATTCTCAAAATTATTAATTCCAGTAACAGCGGTGAATACCTAATAACTGCAAATTTTTAACATTTTCACTTCAATTACTTTTTAATCATTTTTTTCACAATGAACTTCTCTACAAATATTCACAAAATTTTGGCGAGAAAATATTTTGCTACATCTTACCGCCGCCGCAAACATTTTCGATTGAAAACTACGACAAATGCAAAGTGCTCAAAGACTGCCTGCGAAGCAAGACGAAGCTTGTCGAGTGCTGGCGAGCGGGCAAATGGTGTGGCCACATAATGATAACTAAAAAAAAATAAATTGCTGGTAGACGTCGTTCTACAAGTAAACCAGTTTGCTAGATTTTATTTAAATATAGTATTTTTTAATAAAAGAAATAATTGTCGTAAACTAATAATCATTAGTTATGTTAAGCAATCATTATCTATTACGGCAGGTGAAACTGTAAAGATGCCAGTGCTGAGTTTCATTGAGTAAAAACAATATTTCGGGCACCATACAAAAAAGGAAGGTAGTTTCATTCAATATTAAATTGGTAGAAATTTATTAATTGATTATTTTCAGGCGGCTTACCATTTCTTTATAAAAAAAAATATATATGAAAGTTTTTTGAAGTGGAAATATCTTCAAGTTAAAATGAAAATAAGATATGATGTCAAAATATCTTTTTTTTTTGGTTAATTTATAGAGAATGGAACTACCTTCCATTTTTGGATCATGTATTTTTGATTACTTTGAAAGGTTTTGCATATTTTTTAATGCTTTTATAATTTTAGAAAGTTTAAAATTCATAATGAAATTCACTGTACAAAAATAAAGCAAACGACAAAAAATATTTTTATAATTTTTGAAAAAGTTTCACCTTGTTCTTTTGTTTATCATAATTTCAAGTAATTAACAGTTTTTAAAGAAACCTAAATGAAATAAAAAATTTGTTGAATTTAATAAATTCAAATACAGCGATCGAATTTTTAAAATGTAAAATTTTGATAGGGAGCAGTGAAAAACGACAGACAGTTATTAATATACTGATGTAGATAGTTTATCTTTACGATGTGAATTTGTGAGTGCATTCAATTATTTTTCATATTTTAACCAATTTACTAGGAATATTTTAAATTCAGCTCGATTTGTTCGTTTCAAAGAAATTATTAGAAAAACATTAAATAAATTAAGTAAAAATATTCACTGGCAACACAAAATTTATTACTGCTCTCTCCCTGCTCTACTTGTCTTTTACACACACAAATTCAAACACATATATAAGGCATATGTATTTAATATTTTGTGCCCACCCAGGCGGAACATTTTGTTTCAATATTTCAATTTTTTTCTGCTCCGAATTAAATTATTGCTTAGCGATTTAAAATTTATTATGATTTGTGGTATAAAAGATATATGTTGAAAGATGTACGGTAATATACAATTATGTATTTGTTTTTCACCTTGTTCGTTTTTTTTGTCATAACATATGCAATGTTTGACGATTAAATGAATAGAATAAAACTGACATCATGCAGTTAAATTTTAAAATTATCAAGTTTTGTTTATTAGAAAAATCCCATTTTCCTGTCATATCCGTTTTTTATCTGGTTTTTAACAACTCTTACAATGCATAGCTTTTCTTGGAACAAAAATTCTCACTTAGACTGCGGTGTACTCGCAGGGTAGCTACTTACATATATACACATATTCCATCCCTATATTATAAACGCGAGTGTACTCTCTCGTGTGTGGCCACATCGGCAATTTAAAAAAAAGTATGCATTTCGTTTATGAAGTTCAGAATAACCGTAGCTGCTCTTTCCTACAAAATTGTTCATGAAGGTTCCGCAATTAAATAAAAATGTATATACATTATAAATTCTATTAGATTCTAAGTATGATTTTGGTTTATACATATATACGCAGTAACAGCTGAATAATCAGTATATTTTTCGCAGTCATGCCCAAATTAAATTCATGGTGTTTTTTTTTTTTGTTGTTTTTAGTTTACTAAGCGTACATAAATAAAATAAGCAATATTGCTAACAAAATTATTAATTTATCTATATTTTGCTTTTGCTTTCACTGCTCAATTTTCGGCACAAAACTCAACCACAAAATTTTATTACTTAATATTGCTTGAAATCTATTGACTGTCATCAACTTTGACAACGAAATTAAAAAAATGAAATGACCAAAAACACGTATTTTTAACTGCCATTTTAAAATTAAAATCTGGTAACTCTTGCTTTATTTTCATGAACGTAGCAGTTTTCGAGCAAATTTTAAATAGCACACATTCCTCCCAACAAAGTGCAGAAAGCTATACACAGTGCTGGGACAAGGCCTGAATTGATCTGTGGCTGGTCAACCTCTCCATACTTTTCACATACATGTGTATTTACTTATGTATATATTCACATACATATTCCCATGTGTATAAAACAAACACGTTTTGCACCAAAAGTTCGAATTGAGTGTTACTGAAAATGGTAAGTAGTGCTGAGAAAAAATATATTTTAATAATTTTGAAATTTCGGGCAGAAATGTTAATAATTTCCTCAAGACATTCTTATTAACAAAATATTATATTTAAAGGTTTCTCCAATGAAGAAAAGTGATTTAAAAACAACAAAAAAAAACTGAATGCAAACTTACAAAATTGAGGGTGAGCCAAGCGAGAGGATTAAGGGTATCTCATGATTTGAATTGATTGCCGAAGTTTGAACCCAACAGACGGAAAACCACCCAGCATATCTATGTACATACATATATTTACAACCATCACAATAACAACCTTTCGCATATGCGGATATGTTGATATGTATGTACATATGGATATATCGAGTTAGTCGGAAGTCATGAGGCGGTAATAACCACCACTAGTTTTATGCGCGCTCTCTTCTCTGTAATTACAAACGCTTCTTTTATTTTAGAAGGCAGTCTGCACACTTTTTTGAAAGCGCGACATGGTAGCCACTATCTACTCGAGTTTGGATACTATTGGATTTGGCTTTGTCGTTGGATTGGATCACCTCGAAGAGACGCGTAATATATGTAAATCGTAACGTCTAATGTCCCCTCAAAGCTGTAAATTGGATAGTCGGATATGTGACTTTAGTATTGCTAGCGCCGATTATCTTCAACGGTTGTCTACAACTTGCCGCCATACTAAATAATTTCACTAAATTCTCATAGTCTCGTCGAGTGTATCTCTGTGTAGTGTATACGCAAAGTGTTATATATTTGGATTTTGTGCGCTGTACGCTCAACTTGCGTTCTCATCGTGATAGCGAGTGCACTAACGTACCTATACGTTTGTCTTACGTAAGGTGAAAGATAGATACAATGTGTAACATGTCTGAAAGAGGTAAAGCGATATCGCGAACGAAAACAAGTAATGGCAAATGAAAATATACTCAAATTTACATACATACACATGAGTATGCTAGATTTGAAAAAAAAGCGACCACTGCAAGATTTGTGCTACAATTAATGGAAAAGTTTGCTGGAGATGTGATACATTTGAAAAGAGCTTCAGCAGCGCAATGGTTTCTCCTTTTTCAATCGAAAAAATAACATTGTCGGCGCTAAGACAAATTAAAATGAAAATGCCGAATAGTTTCAGCATCCACAAAAGTTTTCATCTAAACGGTTTGTGTTTCAATTTTCTTCGTTACAAAGTCAAATTTAATATGAACATTTTCGCTTGCATTACAGATATATCAAATGTACATTAATACTACATATCAGTCAGCAAGAGGAATAGGAAGAAAAAAGCGTTATATGCTTTAAACGAACATAAAATATTTTATCAAAATAAAAATAATAGTGTTTAGAAATTTATATATTTATTTAATGGCATACACGTATAAGAACCACTTGAAAACCGTCGGAACAAATTTGAGGAGAAGATTGATCCCTTACAAGCTGATGCTAGAAAATTATTAAATATATCTCCTGGGAATTATTTTAAGACGTTTAACTAGAAGATTTTCAAATTGTGTACCTTATATTATTTATTAATTTTGACAAAAACATGTAGACTTTGGCCTATCGAATTTTAAACGAAAAGCACAATATAAATTTATGAAATAAGTTTGCTTAGTTCAATCTATCAATTCAATAAAAAAAACACGTTTTTATCATTAATTATAATAAAACGGAACAAATGTAGATTTTTAATGAAATACTATATTTGCAACACACATATAAATAGAAGAGAATAGAAAGAAATAATTCTTAGGAAAATAATGATGGATATTCACATCTTTATATTACGGATTTTTGGCACAAATTTTATATTTAAAAATTATACCCAATGTCTGTGAAAGCTTAATAATTTTATCAAAATCAACGAAAACTAAAAAACTTCCGACCGAAAATACCATATGGTCAAAAATTTGTGTACAATTTGTAAAACAAAAATAATTAGTTAAAAAAACTGTATCCGCCGCTAATAACAATTCATATATCATTTTCTTAAAAAGTACCTTGTTTTTATTTAGGGCAAAAAAAAAACCGGTGATAAGACTGTAAAATCAATTCCACATGTTCGCTTCGGTTTTCAGATGTGCAAAAGCAAAGCAACAAGCAAGGGGTGGCCATGACGAATTTTTGGTTAGAATTTGTATGATTTAGCTGTATGTATTTGTAAAAACAAAACAAAAATATTAACTTAACCTTAAAACCTGTTAAACGAGTTAACGGGTAGGATATTTAGTCTACCAGAAATAAGCGTCTCAACTTGAGCCGCATCAAAAAAATTAGCTGAAAATGCAGCTTTACATACTTGCACATTCTTTCAAGTACCTCAACATATGTAGGTACATACAAATGCATATATGTATGTATTTATCACAACTATAAACTATAAATCCAAATAATTTTGGGAAAATCGTAAGTTTTTGTTATCAAAGTTAGGTTATACCACACACTTTTTGTAGTTTTAAATAGCAGCATCAATATACATATATACATAATTGGTTAAATACAAAATCTTCTTTGTAGAAATAATTTTTTTTTTTTAACTCACCTGATTGCTAAATTCGCGTTCTACGTAGACAAAATTGTAAATAAGCTTATGTTACAACATACGTTTCACCTAAGTGATTTTCGTAATTAAGATTTTCTTTGTACAATCGATAATGTTTACCTCTGCCGCGTATTCGTGTTTTTTAGAGCAAGCCATTTCACCACTGCGCCCTTCCGACATACGCAAACGCACACGCACAAATATACATTAGGACTATTTAAATGGCCCCCAAATTGATTCTTTGAAATACTGTTGACAATTAAAATGCTAAGTAAATTTTAGTCACTTTTTGCCTAATCACTTTCACATAAAGTAGTAGAAACCAATTTTTTTTGTACAAATAAGTCTGTGCATAAATATGTGTGCAGTTCCTTGCCCTCGCTGGTTGTTTTTTTTTTTACTTTAAGAATCCCAAACTAAGCCTCAAATTTTTAGGCGCTTTTATATTCCGTTATTCTACCTGATGACTTTCTTTCTGCATAGAATTAGAGGCCTCCGCGGAACCGATATATTTATTCTGCTTACGTATAACTTTTTCGTAGCTTTTTTGGATTTTTAAAATTATTTATAGAGTTAAAGGGCTTTGCACATTATTTAATTAAAATAAATTTTGTAAAATATTTCACTATTCCGCATGCTTACACACAGAAAAAATTTTACAGCTATGAACTGTCCTTATGTTTTGCACCTGAAGAACTTTACAATATGGCGCGCATAGTGATGTGCGAATGCTGCCGACTCGCCGAGAAATTCGTTCAGAAGTAGCGAGTTAAAGAAGCGTTGCAACCCGCAAGCTGATAAACAAAAATAAAATCATTTGACCAAAGACCGTATATGAATTATTTCTTATTAACATCATTTGCGACTACCAAAAATTAAAATTTTCAAAGAACTTGAGAAACCATGAAATACACTAACTCAACTTTTATTTAAATTGTTTGTGACCATTGAACTCTACCTCAATTTTGTAGCACTGAACATACTAAGGAGACATTGAAGTGAAACACCGATAACTGACCAATAAAACAAGGAGACGTGGAACATTTGTTAACCTTTCGTAGATATGCGGCTTTTGAGATAATTTATTAACGAAAAGCTAGTTTTCTTTACATTCTCATATTAATTTTGGTCAGTTGTCCTTAAACAACGTTAATAAAAGCTAACAGTGGTACAAATTAGATTTGAACAAAATATGGCTTTAAAGTTATTCACAAATATAATTTGTGTATTGCTCCTATGGACAATCGCTGAGGGATTCACTTCACAGGAGGTGAAGTGTCATGGTATTTTTGTTTTCTCTTTAATAGATAAATTTCTTTATAATAAATTTATTCTCAGTTTGTAAGGCGACAGTACATGAAATGGAGAAAGCAATCGGAAAGGAAGATCCGAATAAAACTGTTGACGTTAGCGGTTTTCGGTTGGATGCCAAAGGAAATTCTATAAGTAAATCCGTAAAACTAATTAAATCTGAGATGTACCTGACTGAGTTGATGGAAAAGATTTGTAAGTAGAGCTTCAAGCTCTGAAACTCCTTTACCTCTTAAAAATTGCAAATAAATGTAGTAACATGTATAAATATTTTTAGGTGATAAAATGGAAGACTATGTTAAAGCAACATATAAGAGCAATGGCAAGTTTACTCTTCTCAAAATGATTGTTGATGATAAGATGAATCCGGAATCATCGCTTGTTGACTTTGTTCAAGACGGAGATTTAAATAAAAGTCTCGGACACTATGTAAATACACATATACTTAAACGAAGTGAAAATTTTAAATAACGATATTTATATTTGTAAATAGTGTTTGGAAATACTGGATGATCATGAAAACGTCTTCATAAAAGCTTTCCAAGCTCCAAGTCTTAGTGATGATTTGGACTCTCAGATTTGCGGAGCTGAGGCGAAATACTGTCCCTACATCCCAGTTCAGGAAGAGTATGATTTCGATGAAAGAGATGAGTTGTGATAAAGTTTGGCATAATTGAATTTATTAGCAAATAGTTTTTGTTATACTACATAAAATATTTATTTTCTTAATAAAACCATTTTGTTGTGTGCTTCCGACGGAAACGTAATGAAGATGTTATGTTATCTTTTAAAATTTGTTTGGTTAGAAAATATGACACACTTATTATTTGCCTTTTAACAAAGACCACATAACCACAAGCCATGGAGCGCCTAAGCCGGTTCCAAAGAATAGCGTCATAATCATTGTTATTTTATATTTTCCTGCATTTAAGTTAATTGGTAGGTTCTATAAAAGAAACAGCGTTATTTTAATAGCAAATCTCTAATACATTTGCTTACCTCGCCTGGACAACCGGGTCTCCCGTGCCCACCTCCATAACATAACATAGTAGTGGAAAATTTGCGTGCTCCACGCGTAAGGCTTCCAAACCGTCCAATCATAATAAAAGATTAGCTTTAAATATTATTGGAACAATTTTAACTACTTATTCGTGCCAATCTTAGCTTTCAAATAAATTTATCATCGACAAGTTTCTTTTCAAAAAGCATGACAACTATATCTTTTATTGCTGAGTTAATTTTAATTTTTTTTAATCTTGTTTGCGTTTTTCCAGCTTTTTGAGTATGTAGCCTTGTTACTTAAATCTTTGCTTTTACTAAAATGACCTCGTCTAGTGAAACAATAAAATCTCTTAAGAATAGACATGTATTTCTGTATGATATATATTTTTATTTGGGTAGAATTTGACTTTAATCTTATTCATACATAACAAACTTTTTAGAGCTGGTCATAGCACAGAAAAATTTTCCAAGCATAGCTCCCTTCTTATGCTTGCAAAATGGGGTCTGAAAATAGAAATTATGCTGTTATTCATATAAGTAGTTTCCTTATTATGTTAGTTGGGAATGTCTAAATCACTATTGGATCCACTAACCTTACATTTTACTTCTTTAACAGCTGATGTCTGACGACCAAGAATGGAGCAGCTAATCCAGATCCGAAGAAAAGTACAAAGTAGGCGGTCAACTTGTAGCGGTTATTTAGACCGAACGGCAAGTTCTATAATACAAATATAAAATTAAAAGATCGTCTTAAAATGTTGGAGCTTATGTAACAATGTGGTAGGTGGAAAATTAGGAAATACACAAAAAATATACATACCTCACCGGGAATACCACCATGACTGTGGTGTCTCACCAAAGTCTGGGTAATATTACGAGCCAATAGACCTGTGCGACCCAACATTTTAAATTTTTATTTGTAATAAATTGGTTTATGCTCCAAATGGGGAAATTACTGCTTGTGTAAATTTGACGTATAAGATCTTCGCAAATACAGAAAAAGAAGTGTCAAAAATATCCAGAGTTGCATTCTCTCAATATTTCGTTTTAATAATTTTAATGGCGAAATAAAAATCGATATATTTCAAAATCTATTGTACGAACAAGTTCTCTATTAGAATAAATTTTTATTTTTAAATACATTTTTTTGCTTTAAGATAATTTTTTAAAACATACATCTGGAGTTCCCATTCGAATTTGATGTCCTAATAAAATTTCTGAATTTCGATTCCTATTTGTCTATCGATCTCAGATCTTCAATCTTGTTATCTTAAACAGCTGTTCGTGTTATCATAAAATGTGGTGATATAACTTGTCCTATATAATTCCAAATTGCTTGCCATTTGTTTGCGCTAGAAATCCCTTCAAGTTTGTAAATATTAAATTTTATAAATACTCTTTGAGTTTCCTTATTTTCGTGTAGTTATGTTAAAGTCAGTGTCTAACTTCCGAAATCCTATAACACTACAATTATCTCGCTATTCAGCTCGATTTTTGCACGTTGGCGATGCAGATGTTTTGCCTACCTCAGTTGATAAGTGCTCTGAAGAGTTTAAGGTTGGATATAAAAATTTATAAATAAAAATGGTTACATGAATTGCTCACCATAATCATTTGCAGGGAAATGTTGTTGAAATGACTAAATTGGTAAACGAGTTGAATGGCATCACTCAACAGGTCCTTACTGGTGGAGGAAGCACAGCCATTGAACGTCACACTTCACGAGGAAAACTCTTGCCTAGGGAACGCATCAATTTGCTGCTTGACAAGGCGTCATCATTTTTAGAACTAAGCACTTTGGCGGGTTATGAGTTATATGGAAAAGACATTGTAAATTCTGGTGGTATAGTCACTGGTATAGGCAGAATATGTGGGTAAGTTTTGCTTACTCACATTTAAGTATGAATTTGTCTAATTAATCGCTTATAAATAATTATAGCGCAGAATGCGTTGTAGTTGCTAATGACGCAACGGTAAAAGGTGGGTCTTACTATCCTATTACTGTGAAAAAGCATTTACGTGCACAGGAAATTGCACAAGAAAATCGTCTTCCATGTGTCTATTTGGTTGATTCCGGTGGTGCTAATTTACCACGTCAAGCGGAGGTATTTCCCGACAAGTTGCATTTTGGACGCATTTTCTACAATCAAGCTAATATGTCAGCATTGGGCATTCCACAAATAGCAATTGTAATGGGTAGTTGTACAGCCGGTGGTGCCTATGTACCTGCAATGGCTGATGAGAGCATAATTGTAAAACGGCAAGGAACAATATTTTTAGCTGGGCCACCCTTAGTGAAGGCTGCTACAGGAGAAGAAGTTTCCGCCGAGGATTTGGGTGGTGCTGATTTACATTGCAAAACTTCTGGCGTTACTGATCATTATGCAGTGGATGATGAGCATGCACTTTATTTGGCTAGACAAGTGGTACGAAATCTTAATTTACCCTCTACAAATAGTTACAACGAAAAACTGTTATACTCAAGTCAAATGGCGAATAAAGCAAACAATGCTAAGGATACCGAATATGTCGAAGAACCCAAATACGATTCACATGATTTGTATGGCATTGTGGGCACAACTTTGACCAAGAGTTTTGATGTACGCGAAGTTATAGCTCGAATAGTAGATGGAAGCCGTTTCACTGAATTCAAAAAGTTATACGGCGATACATTGGTTTGTGGGTTTGCAAAACTATATGGACATACAGTGGGCATAATTGGAAATAACGGTGTACTTTTTTCGGAAAGTGCTTTAAAAGGTGCTCATTTCATACAATTATGTGCACAACGCAATATACCATTGGTATTTTTGCAAAATATAACAGGTAAGTTTAATTTAATGTTCAATTTTGGATTTATAAACAAATATGATATTTTGGTTTGAAAGGTTTTATGGTCGGACGGGATGCAGAAGCAAATGGTATTGCGAAGAATGGTGCGAAAATGGTTACAGCTGTGGCTTGCGCAAATGTACCGAAATTCACCGTAATCATTGGAGGTTCTTACGGCGCTGGAAACTACGGAATGTGTGGACGCGCATATTCACCACGTTTTCTTTATATGTGGCCGAATTCTCGTATCTCCGTTATGGGCGGCACTCAGGCAGCCAATGTGCTTGCGCAAATAACCGCAGATCAACGGAAACGAGCGGGAAAAAGCTTTACAGAGGAAGAAGCTAATCAATTAAAGGCACCTATTATAGACACTTTCGAAAAGGAGGGTTCACCTTACTATAGCACAGCTCGTTTATGGGATGATGGTATCATCGATCCGGCTAACACACGCCAAGTGTTAGGCTTAAGCTTAAAAGCGGCCTTAAATAATGCTGGTCAAAGTACACGATTCGGTGTATTCCGCATGTAAAACAGTGGTGATACGAACACTTGTTGCATTTATTTTTTGATACAATTTGTACATTTTGCGAATAGTCATTGTGGAAATTTGTTGCATTTATTAGAATTAAGATCAATGTTTTATAAACAATTTTTATTACATTTAACAGTAATTAAGAGGTACTAAATACATACAATTTTGGAAATAGAGGAATATTTTTATAGCTAAAGAAACCAATTTAAATTATATAATCTTTTATCGTAACTTAAAGTTTTTATTTTTCATACCCTTTTTATAGTTTAGGAAAATTTAAATACATACATACATATATGTATATATTTCTTTAAAATTTCTAGTTTTATTATTACTCATGCCGATTGTTGTCTGAGAAGCAAATAAGAATATCCGGATTCCGAAACAAATAGACTTTCCAGGTATCACTAATGAATTTTGGATATATCTTTTATTGTATCTTTCATCAGACTTATATACGTTAGTAAGAAATATAAGTGGAGCTCTTATGTAAAGAAATCGTATGAAGAAAATTCTCTTTAAAATTGTGATAATGGTGGATTAACTTTTAGCAGCTGGCTGGCTGGCAACACACTAAACAGGGAAGCACAGAACCCTTTTTCTGCACTTGGTACCTTTTCTAGACGTTAAATTGGATTTCACCACAGCAACTCGCTGCTTTTGTATAATTCGAAAATATTCTCTCGTTATTTAGTAATGAACGAATTTGTAAAAGCAGTTTGCTTGAATTTTCGGTGTTAATAGCACGCGTGTATAATTTCTCCCAATGAAAAGTATTAAAACGCTCACATATATATATTAAATCAATTAAAATTCCCTGCAATAGAGAGCTACTAAAGCATAGCAGCTGCAAGAAAGAAAATCGGCAAGTGTAAAAGGTAGATCGCCAAAACATTAACAAACTATTGGAATTTCTAAACGCTGAGTTTTAAGTCAAATTCAAGTTGGAAAAACAGTCATTGAAATAGTTGTGGAAGATCGTGTTGTCAACGAATAAGCAAAGGAATTTTAGGGTTGTGTTTAAAAGTTAATAATTTGCTTGGGTAGCAAAAGTTAAGCAAGCAAGAGATAAAAAGGAGTGGTAAGGAAGTTTAGTGCGTGAATTTGTAAAAACGCAAGAATAGAATAAGTGGAGTTATATCGAAAACTGCAAAATTTCCGCTTGGGGGAAAAGGTGAGTGTATGTGTTTGTGTGTGTGGCATTCGTCGATGCGGCGGATGCGTTTGGATGAACGAATATGTATTTGCTTTGGATGAGCGAGTGCGAAAGAACAAAGTTTTGACAATGTGGGTAGGTGCGGCAGTTGTGTGTGTGTAAACGAGAACGCAAATGCATGGTAATTTTTCGATGTGCAAAATTTCGAAAGAAATCGGCAAAAAGGAGTAAAAGAAAATAAAGGATGATGATTAATGCGTTGCACAAAGAAGAAATGAAGTGGATAATGGTGATGACGATGCAGTGAATACACTTGGAAGATATTTAAAGCGAATCTTGTCAGTATGTTGCACTGGAAGTACATATGTATGTATGTACATAAGAAAATACAAAATTGGAGAAGAAATAAGCTATGAGGAATTGAATAGGATTATACCCAGAGGCAAAATAGCATATCCATGCAGGGGCATAGTTCATGCTTTAATATTTTAAGCTCATCAGTTGCATTCATTTGTCCCTTTAAGTATATTTGATATACGATGCTTTGCAACGACAAAGCTTTTCAGAATACAATATACTAGGGCTTAAAAATTAGTTATTGCTCTTGCATGTGTTAAATCACTTTTAATTTTTAACTCAACAATAAATTGGGTTTAAGACCATAAATTTTCAAATTTCAAGACATAAACAGATATAATCATTACGTGTCTTCTATCTACACCTGTTTTAACAAAAACGGCCACTCCCTTGCATGAAGTTCTCTTAATAGATGCAATGAGTAACTATTTATTTGGAATATTTTTGAATTGTAATTGAATCTACAAAAGAATGTCATTATATTAATATGAATTTAATAATAAAAAAAGATAAAATACATTACTTAAACACTTTCATTTCTTGCGTATTACGTCATCAAATCATGAACTAAATTCCATTCGCATACTGCGTCTATGTAGGTATGTATATGCCTATGTTTCCTGAGTTGTTAGCAATATTTGTAGTAGCCGGCCTAGCATGTAGCCGCCTACTTAATTTTTATGATATGACATCGGAGCTCGTCTCTTCAGTAAATATGGATGCATGTGTGTATGTACATATACAATACATAAAGTTCAACAGTTGATTTTGCATAATTTTAGCTTAACGTTTACCTCAAGCTTATGAACTAATATTAAAACATACATATGTACAGAATAATCTTTAATCAGTAATATAAAAATAAAAGAGAAGCAATTAATTAAAAGCCCAAAATATGGAGGTGAAGGATTTTTTTATAATTAATTAATTCACACCTTTAATGTTTCAATAATTACTTTAAAATATTTATTGTTTCGTTTTAGAATTAAAATTTCATTTGTTAAAAGTTAAAAGAATAATTTTTTTATAATTATAAATATGTTAAAAGTTGAAAGAATAATTTTTTTATAATTATAAATATGTTACGTACATACATATGTACGTAAGTAGTTAGTGGTCAATGCCAACGACAATTTTTTTCACTCAGACTTGTCACAAGCAACTTGTTGCAAGGATTTAGCCGGTTTTTAAGTTTTTTTTTTTTGTATTTATACGTGCACATGTTAAAATTGTCCTTTTGTGTATTTTGCTATAGGTAGCCTGTGCACCTGTAAGAAAAATTAAATTTAATTTTAACCAACGTTATTTTTATTACTTTTTGCATGTATGCACATATGCAAATTCCATATGAGAGCTGTTTGACACATTTTTGACGTTTCGCCGTTACCCACGCATTGGCAATACCGGTTTCTCATTTAAAATATCTGTGCTATGTTATAAGTTTACGTTTGTTATTATGTGTGAGTGAATTAGTTCCCGTTCGATGTTGCCACTTTGATGTGCTCTTTTTGTTTTTGGTTTTTTAAGTTAACATTGCTGCCATGTCTAATAACAGATACGAATCGATGCTCTTTAGAAATTCGATCAGAGCTAAGTCGCTTCGATTATTAATTATCTAATTGCATTTGGCCATGTATGAATGGCATTCCATGAGCTCTAGAAAGATCACTCATTGAACTGCATTCATGTATATTCCCCGTTCAAAATACTATTTAACTTAGGAAAATACTTATTTTATTTTTATCTTTCATGACTACATTTGAAATTTATGGTATTTCATTTTAGGATTAAATACCTACTAATTGTCATATCTGAAAACAAATCTCGTAAGATTTTTCTGATTGGAATTTAGCAAAAATTCGAAATACAGAACAACAAATTTGCCGTATTCGAACATAAATTCCGAACAATCCAATTCGATCTGAACATGATAATGTAACTCTGATCCGATTTAATTCCGTTTCAGATTAGAACTCTAGATTCCAGGGTATCGAGTAGTGCGAGAAACTCGATACCCGTTCGTTGCTCAACTGCTAAAATTTTTTTGATAATGCCTTAATTTTCAATTATTATTTCTGTTATAAATAATTTAAAAAAAAGAGAAGTTCTGGGAGGAAGAAAAAGCAAAGTTTTGCTTAATATGCTCGGAAAAGCTCGAATTGATCGAGCTCGTGCTTGAGAATTTTTGAGCTATGAGCAATAAATGAGTGTGCGAGTACTCGTTGCTAGCAAATGTTCGAGCGAAATCTTAGGCTATAATTCACTTATAGTAAATAGAATTTCATTCAGATTAAAATGAATGTACATGTATTTGTGTAAGAATATAATTTCTTTGAAATCCGAGAACCCTTAAATATGCCAGACGCTGGTACCGATTTCTAGTGGCTTGCGATTTACTTATAACTTCAAACTTCCGCTACTCACTGCGCCACTGCAAAAAAAAAAAAAAAATTAACAACACATTGATAAGATTTCTAAAGCCTTAATGCCATTCATGTTCCAGCTTCGGTGTGCCAAGTCAATAGTCCACTTGTGCATTTGTCTGACAACGATTTAATCAACGATGTTTCGTGCTAATATATAGTAAGCAAACCCAAACAAATAAGCGGCAAAAGATACGAAACAGCGGGGCATTGGACTTACATGTATACATATGCATGTGTATATTTGTATATTGACCACCGGTGACGGCAGCAAGACGACCGACCCGACGAGCCACCATAGTAGCGCTTAGGTCGTTAGTCTTGTGCTAAGTACGAACGAGATTCATATTGATATTTGTATGTATGTGTAAATATATGTAGTGTGAATATGGTATTTAGCGTTGAATTTTTACAAAAAAATTTTTTTTTTTTACATTCAGTTTAACTGAAAATTAGTAGAATCTTTTAAATATGAATGCACTCATGTTGTCATTATATTACTACATATTTCTAATGAAAGTTCGTTTGCCAGTTGTCAAGGTCCTTCACAAAAAATAAGAAATAAAAAAATTAAAATGCAATAAATTGTAGTTCCTTTTGTATTTATTGCAAACGTCCGAGTTCGTATGGGTTCCTTCTATTAACATTTATATAAAAAAAATCGTAAGGGCGATAGACCACAACATTCGGGCAGGAGTGGCTCCTCATCTTCTGATTCTTAAAATTGGAAGTATTTCCTAACGATTTTGGAGAGGAGTTAGGGATTCTGTAAATATGTCATACCATATTAGACTTTCTTATATATTCCATTCCCGGACATTGAAATTGATTAAGAAAAAATTACTTTTTTGTTAAACATAAATTACATCTTTCGAAAGCGTTTGTTTTTAATATGAAATTGTCAACATTTCTCTTAATTCGCTGTAAAAAACCTTACTACTGTTCGTTCACTAGGTGCTGTCCGTTCAGTAGCACACTTACCCTATGCAGGTACGTTTGATGCAGTTCGTTTCCAACATAGACATTTTTGGTCAGTTTTTAATAATTTCACTGTATTTTACTTACCCTTGTTAAAGTTTTGTGATTTTGGAGTAATTAAATTTGAAACTTGGAAGATCAACAAATGGAGGAACCCACAGTTTATACTAAGCCGCCTCCGAACAGCTGGCGGTTTTTATGAGAAGCTGTTATTTCAGTTCAAAAATACACTCGAATCGGCGACCGCAGTTAGAAAATTTAACTTAATTTTTTTTGTATACAAGGTGTGTTCAAAAAATATCGCGAATTTTGTGTTTTTTTCCAAAAATTATTTATTTATTCATGAATATCTATTTTGTTCCCTTCAAAGTAATCCCCATGAGATATTATACACTTGTGCCAACGGTTTTTCCAATCATCGAATCACTTCAAAAAATCATTTTTTTTTATCTTGTTCAGCTCCTCCTTCGATGCCGTCTTTATCTCGTCAATGGTAGCGTAACGTCGTCCTTTCATGAGCCTCTTCAGTTTAGGGAACAAGAAAAAGTCACAGGGGGCAAGAACTGGGGAATACGGTGGTTGCGGCATTATTAGTGAGTTGTTTTTGGCAAAAAAGTCGCACACAAGCAACGATGTGTGAGCAGGGGCGTTATCGTGGTGCAAAAGCCAATTTTTGTTCTTCCACAAATCCCTTTCTGGCGGATTGCTTCGCGAAAATTGCGCATAACTTGCAGGTAAAATTCCCTATTGACCATTCTACCCTGCGGCAAGAACTCATGATGCACCACGCCTCTGCAATTAATTGTTTCGTCTGTTGTTAAAGTGGTCGGGCGTTCGGCAAGCTCTTAGTCGTTCACATCTTCTTGGCCTTCTGAGAACATTTTGTACCAACGATAAACGTAGCTTCGGTCCAAGGTAGCTTCTCTGTATGTCACAGTTAACATTCGGAATGCATCCGCGCACTTAATTTCGCTTTTCACACAAAATTTGATACAGGTTCTTTGATCCATTTTTATGAATAGGTAAAAATCGAAGACCATCCAAAACACGTGCAAGCAAAGCAGCTGTCAACAATTAAGTGAACATTCAAAATGGCCGATCTTATCGGCCTAAGTGACAGATATGAGTACCAACAAAACGCCACAAAAAAATCGAAATTCGATTATACGTAACCCGCGAAATTCAATATTCGCGATACTTTTTGAACACACCTCGTATAAATTAATTTTCTTAAACTTTTGGATGTTGGGTGTACCAGGA